CGCCTCCTGCTCACGCTATCCCTCAACCGACAATGCGCCATGTACGCAACTTGACGTATCCAATGCCTTCCTTCATGAAGATCTACCCGACGACGATTTACATTCGCCAACCACCTGGTTTCGTCGATCACAATCAACCACACGCGGTGTGGAAACTTCAAAAATCTCTCTACGGCTGAAAACAAGCACCGCGGTAATGTTTTAAAAACTAACCAGTTTCTTCCAACAACAAGGCTTCGGGTTTAGTTCGTTCTGACCTCTTTCTATCTTACACAAACACAACATTCAAATATATATTCTTATTTTTACGTAGACGACTTCTTGGTGACAAGGTAACGACGACACTGCAATTCGGCTACTCCTCCAACAACTGCAAACCCAATCGACCCACAAACAACTTAGCAATATCTCGCTCTCCTCGGAATTCAGGGACACATTCCAAATGCCGGCTACTTTCTATCTCAAAGAACACTATGCGATGGGAGGGGTATGAGGAAAGTGACTTTAAGCTGACGCAGGCTACAAGGATTGCAAAGCAGCTCCTACTATCGCGGTCACGCATCTAAGAAACAGAAGGAACCGAACTCCCAACCAATTTCTGGAACCATCCCTTTACGCGCTCGGCTGGATCACTTCAATACATCTCCATCACAAGATCGGATATCGCCTTCGCAACGAACCGGATCTGTCAACATATGCAGTCCCAACCAAACCAAGACTTAAGGCACTAAACGTCTTCTTCGCTACATCAAATGCACCCTATCATTTGGACTACCTATCGTCGCTGGCTCGCTGGAACTACGCACTTATTCAGACGCGGACTGGGCATCGGACACCAGCTACCGGAAGTCGGTTTCGGGCTTCTACACCTTCCTCGGTCCCAACCTTATTTCTTGGATGGTGAAAAAGCTGGCGACGTAGCTAAATTTTCCACTGAAGCTGAGAACATATCTCCCTCCGTTGCCTCTTCGGACGTGATATGGCTTCGTCGACTAGCCACCGAACTCAATCTCTCGCAACCGTCACCGACCGTCATTCACTGCGATAACACATCAGCTATGGCCATTGCCAAAAACCCGGTGTTTCATGCAAGAACAAACATATCGAGATTGACTATCACTTTATTCGTCAGCAAATTGGCTCCGGCAACTTCCAGCTCGACCACATCTCCTCCAAAGATCAAATAGCTGACATCCAAACGAAGCCCTTCTCGATCGCTCAATTCACTGAATTACGGAACAAATTAACCATTCGGACACCGAATGCTTAAGTTGAGGGAGGCTATTAGCATATAAAGTAATGCCCTTAGGTTCTTTATTTGTATTTACTAGCTTACCATTAGCTAAGTCTTTATTAGGCCTTTCTCTGTAACTATTCAAGATACAGGAATAATACAATCCGTTTCATTTTCTTTCCCTGGCTTCACCGTGTTCTTTCTTCCTCTCTTCCTGTAAAGTTCTAAGTTTACTTTAGGAATGTATACCTTTTCTTGCATAGAAATGAATCAAATTTTTAACCTTATTGTCTTCGCAATTACAATAATATATACTAAAAACTATGAATTGCATATTAATTATCATGAATAAATATGAACGTTTGCCGACTAAAATTTAATATAACTTTGTAGTAAAGTAAAGTTATTTATAGAAATGTATATGCATCTTTATAAATGTATTTATTATCTCTTATGCAATTCTTTTAATAATGAAAATCTAAATAATATAAAATATAGTTGAACTCTATTTGTCTGAATTATTTAATATTAATTTGACTCTAAACTGAATATCTTATACAAAATAATTTGTTTGACGTCAGAAATTAATAATGAATGAATATATGATAAAATCGGCCAATTTTTACCTTTCTTAAGAAAAGCTTTATACTAATTAGACCGGTCTTAAAACAAGTATTCAAATAATCAAAATACGAATAATCATTCTATATTTAAATTAATATTTAGAGTCAACTAATTAAATTTAATAACCGTTAGAATAATTATTTCGTTTTAGATTTCATAAACGGTCAGAATAAAAAGGATATCATAAATAATATTTGTTCATATATGATGAAATTTGGAGGATTTACTTTCCATAAATATATTTTATCAATTTGATTTGGTTTCCAAAGATAGATTTTTATTAATTTGAAAACATAATTATCATTAGTTTAAACTGGTTCTATAAATGTTACAGAAACATGCAATCGGATCTAATATCTCTTGCTCCTCGCTCTATTACCCCTCCTAGTTTCTCTCATCCGCTACTCACGAGCGACTCCACACTTCGTCTTCTTCTTCTTCTTTTTCTCCGACGACCTGCTTTCTTAATTTTCTCGAAGAATTGTTTCAGTTTCACAAGCTATATATGGAGCGTGGATTTTGGGTGCAGCAGCGATTAGATGATACGCTAATATTTACAAACATTTCAGTTGCTACAGGCTATGCTTATACGCCACAGCTGCGCTCTGTTCCAGCGCCGTGGATGATGCATTCTGTTTCAACGAGATGGATGATGCCATCTGTTCTGCCTCGATCATACTGTCCTCATCGTCAAAGTACGCACATCTTTTCTTTTCTTCATTTCTGCATACTCTCTCTCTCTCTCTCACATTCCCAATCAGTATCTCGATGGACGGATCTACCGTTCTACGTACATCTTTTCTTTTCTTTTATTACATTAAATTTAATTTTTAAAACTACTCCTTTGTTTCTTACTCCCTCCGCCTCCGCCTGTGCAGTTTTATTTTTTTTTTCTACGTTGGAACAGCTTTTATCTCTCCCCTCTCTCTTTTATCACTCCCACCCCCTCTCTCTCTCTCTCTCCTGCCAATGTTTGTTTAATTTTTTTGAGAAGGAATTGATAAAATTTTTAAATAAATTAATTAGTTTTATTATATTAACTTTATTATTTTGTATTATTTGTAATTTTCTTTAGTAATTGTGAAATATTATGTATAATTAATTTAATAAAAATAATTTAGAATTAATAAACAATTAATTTAAATTTGGTAAATTATGGTCTTATACTAATTTAAATATAGTTCAAAATTAAAACTAAATTTAATTAGTTCAAATTAAATATCTTAATTATAAAAGCAATTTATTGAACTCAATTCATTAATAATCATTGGAGAAATATTAATTTTTTAATAAATAATAAGATATAGAATGATATATCTATTTTTTAATGGGAATGCATATAATTTTAGACGTATTTTTATAATTTTTCATTAAAAATATGACTCATGATTTATGTTTACAATGAATAAAAATTATATTTTAAGAGTAATTTAATAACTAATATTAATTTGTGCCCCCATAGAAAAAATTTTCTAGCTCCGCCGCTAAGGATGTTGCCATGCTTATCATCGGCCGCATCCTTCTCGGCGTCGGTGTTGGCTTCGCCAACCAGGTGAGCAGATCTAATTTTCAAAGTTCTACAGGGATTTCTCTGTTTCCATAGAAGGGTTTATATGTTTGCTTCACTCTTCCCCTGTTTTGTTATTGATCTTACTCTGTTACGATCTTTCTACGTCATTTTTTTTTTTTTTTTGTAAATTTAATTTTAATCTCAAATTTTAGTTCTGCAAGGGTTATTTGAATGTCTTTGTCTGTTTACTCATGTCTTTTATCAAATATATTTTAAATATTAATTTATAGGCTATATATCTTAATAAAATTATGAATTAGCCTATTATCTTCTTATAGATTAAGTTTATCTTATATCTAACATCTTCTATAATCACAGAAGTTATAATTGTTATGGATCGGATTATTTCTAATAAAATTAATAAAAATTAAAATATACTCTTTTGCTAGCTATGTTCTAATGAGAGTAATTTAATAATTAATATTAATTTGTGCCCCCATAGAAAAAAATTTCTGGCTCCGCCCCTGTTTATCTCTTTGCTCATTTATTCGACTAATGATTCAGGATATGAATTACCTCCTCGCATGCGCTCAAGCAATACTAATACTACAATGATACACTCTACAACCGCTGATATTAATGAGAGAGCGCCAGAGCAGCAGGTAATTGATCATATGAACAATAAGGATTTACATATAAGGGAGCATTCTTTAATCTTGTCACATTATATAATTGAGTTTCCACTCTTAATTAGTTTTATTCTGAAATCACAGAATCCGCCAAATCAAAGCAGTAGAGCTAGTAACAGATTGTTAGAAAGACGCATATCTAATTTCTTGATCAATAGTTTGGGCCGATTAACAACCACAGAGGAGAATATAGTTTGCACCATATGTCAGGTAATTATTAATTTTTTATTTTCTTAATTTATTTTAATGTATAACATTTAATTAATTTTCATTTACTTATGAATTTATTGAAGGAAGAGATCAAATTGGAGAAGAACATAGCTATCTTGAGCTGCAACCATATCTATCATGTAGGATGCATCAAAAATTGGTTGATGATTAAAAATGAATGTGCTGTCTGTAGAGCACAAGCTATCCCTGATGAAAATGTTTGAAGAGTTTTATGTTGACGAGAATAATGATGATGATTATGTACGTGTATACACAATTTTAAAATTTTCTCTCTAGTTTGAATGAAAATATTTTGATTTTTTCTTTATTTTCTTAAGTAAATTGTACATTAATTCAGTCTATAAATTAGTTTAGCTAAAAATTTAGCATATATATACTTTTTTAGAATAAGCCTCTTTATTTCATTCATTAAATTTGAAATTCGTATGATAATATTGCCTAAAGAAAATAAAGTTTGTTAATTCCTTATGTATTTGAATAACAATTTATGATCAATCCTATCATCTCTAAATCAAAATGAGTCATATTAAGTAAATATTCCCATCAAAACATATTAGTATATAAACTGTGTTTCATAGCTCTATTTCCCATTCGCCCATAATACATCCACATTACAATTTGATTTGATTTTCTGGTTTGGCAGATTTGTTCGTCTTAGTCATGCTTTTGTGACTATAAACATTATAGTTAGAGAAATTTAAGGAGGAAATGAAAAATAGATGATAACATGGAGTTTTATGTAAAATAAAAAAAAAATTATATAATATTGAGAATTTTAGTCCAGAAATTAATGAATGGTTTATAAAAGTGTTTACATTTGTGAATATGAATTTAGTAAATTTATCATAAAGCCATCTATAAAAATATATATTAAAAAGAACATTTTTTTCCCCCAAATTGGCTCTTGAAAAAATTTTAAAAAATCAACTCGCTTAGGTTTTCTTCAAATAAAATTCTTTTTCGTTGTATTAAAAATATCAAATTTGTTTGATATTGTGAAAAAATATATTGATACTTGATTTTAAAATTTAAATTCCTATAATTAAATTCTTATAGAAAATAACATACTATTTCTAAAGACCAAAATGACATTTTACTATTGATTTGAAAATATAAATAGATTATATTTTATTTTTTATAATCAAATACATCATAAAGAATATCATATATCTTGAAAGAGAAATAACATTCAACTATAATTTTAAAAATAAAAATAAGTCTTAGTAAAACTTGTCCACGATCCCAAAGGCTTTTTCCCTTATTTTAGAATTTAAAATAGGATTTATTTTCCTACTAGGGTTTTAAGTTTCTTGTAAATACAAGCTCTTATAGTTCATTACATTTCAAGAGGAGCTCTTGGGAAAGCTATCGATTAAAGTAGTGAATATACCATTATTAATTTATAATGATACAATCAAGGATTTGAGTTTATTTTTTATTTTTTATTTCTTTTAATCAAGTATTTGAGTTTATAGTTTATAAGAAGGGATTGGTTAACAAAAGAAATTCATTAAAAAAAAAAAAGAGGGATTGGTATAAAGTGAATAAATATTTCTATAATTTCATAGGATAAAAGATAGAGAGTACTAGGAGTAATTCATGCATGTGAGTGGGCAGGCCATTACATAAATAGGCATCATATTCTCTCTCCCTCTCACAATGATAAACCTCTAATTATCATGTACCTTCTTTCATCTTCGAATTGAAATTGTGCACCGCATTATCTATACATCTACTGCCAAACCCATATCTCATTGTTCTTCCTTTGGTCGTATCAACGCATCCTTACACCCTTCTTTCATATACTTAAGAACACATGTCCACCTGTTCTGTCATTCCTATCGTCCATCATTGCGATGTCTGCTCGCCGAATCAAGAAAAACATCCTGTTTTAAAAGGTGAACTAATCAACGCCTTTTTTTAATTTTTGCAATTTTTATGGACATCTGCTCTGCTCGTCCCTCACATTTGGCTTCTTCACCTCGTCGAAGCCACTCGCCCAGGCCACGTGTCTCCCGCGCTTCCCCATCGCATACTTTAATGTTTTCCCCTTTTAAGCACTTAATTCCTACTGCAACTCGTTTTCTAGGGTTCACAATTTGGCGGTGATCTCTTTATCTCCTTTCTCCCGCCACATACTCTTCTTTTACATACCCATGTTTTTTCTTCGTGATTGTCGTTTTGTCGTTGGAGTAAATTACTTCGTCGCCGGCACCTCCGATACTTCGATCGGATTTGACATTGTGCCAAGTCGATGACAACAAACCTTCCAGACGCCTATGTAAAGATGAGAACAGCTTCAATCTAGTTGAAAAGCTTCATATCTCTCCTCTACCCCCCAATTCCCACTCCGCACTTCCTCTCTTACGCTCTCTATCGTCCACTGCCGGCGAAAATGATGCACATTACCTTCTATTGGGTCAAAACCGTCACGATCCTCGTAGATTCGTGGCACACCGATTCCTGGATTTCCTACATGCTCTCCCTTATCGCTCTTTTACTCGCATCTGCCTTCTACCAGTTCTTCAAAGACCGCCTCGTCCGTTTCCTAAATGATGAGAAAGCAAATTGTTGATATCAAGTTAAACATTCTATATAATATTGTGAATATTTGATGAATTTATTCATCATAATGATGCTGAATTACATAACATCTGCTACATAGTAATTTTTACCCTTCAATATGGTTTTAATTTCATCTTTAGATTTTCTGATGAACTGTCTGTTATTCATTTGCCATGAGTTTTCCCGACGAAGTTCATGTGGTCTTTCTGCTTTATTATGTTTCTCTTTAATATAAATATATTAATCATGTAAATTATATTTTATGTTCCTAAACCTTTAAATTATATAAATATATATTTTTGATTCCTGCTTTTTGCTTATAAATGCTCATATATCACTTGCTACATTTTTAAGATATGTAGGATTTATGAATATAGTCAAGTTTACAGCAAATTGGATTCAGATTAAAGTTTGTATTAGTTTTCAAGTGCAGGCTTATTAGTTTTGACTTGAGCATTATGGATATGAACCAGTGGCCTTTCATAACTTTTAAATTTGATGGTTTTGGAACAAAAGCTGATAAACAAAATAGAAAAAAAAAATATGAATAGGACAATTCATTATTAGGCTATCAACATCATACAAGATTGAGGTTAAGGGATTGCGATGAAAGACATGAAGTGGATATTAAAACTAGATAATGTAGTAGCAGATTGTGGCAAATGACTAGACAAGAATCCTCTCAATCAAGCATGTACAGTGATACCTGATGTTGAGAAGAATTCCAATTGCTCTGTACTTGCAAGTGGTGGTGAACCTGAATTTTGAGTTAAATTGCTCTGCACTTACAAGTGGTGGTGAACACGAATTTAGAGTTAAATTACAATCATAAGAGATGGACTGTGAAATTTATGAACTCAGAGGACTGAAATGTTTATTTTGAAGCTATGATGAATGTTTTGAACTTGCAGTTGCCAAATGATTGAAGTTGACAGCAAGTATTTGGTACTTTCTGATCAGCCACTATCATGTAATTAATTTTCATCTGGATTCTAAGCTAACTAGAAATCAAATACAATTTTCTGAAATCTGATTTTCTTACTGCTATATTAATGGTGATTCCTGTGAAATTAAAAAAAAAACTAAGTAAATGCATCTTCTATTCTAAGTGAACTAGAACCTCCAACAAGTATTTTATTCGATTTTTGCTTCCATCACCGAAATTATGAGAAAAAAAAGTTCATACATAAATTTCTCAAGTAAATTGCACACCGCAATTAAAGCCATTCTCGGGTATACCTCATTCAATGAGTGATATTGAATGGCAATTCCAGCATTACAACTAATGTTTGAATTGACTGATTGACCTCAGCTCTGTGATCCAGTGCATTGACAAAACTTAAATAATTGTTTTATTTCTATTGTTTTTAACCCTAAAGAATGACACTGAAGAAGTATAATATGAATTTTCAGGGACTGATTAAGGTAGTTTGTCATCTTCCACATGAGTTAAAAGTAGGGAACTTGTAGATCTTCTTTTCATTTAATATTGCATGTGATTCTACTATTTAAAACTGTTGAGGGAATGTTGTATGCTAGATTACTTTGATTAATTGCATTGTTATGGGCTTCATGCCATTTGAGCTGATGAATTACCTCCATTGTCATCTTGGCATAATTTATACATCTTTGAACGATTGTTTCTTGCATTTATACTTCAATATGAATTTCAAAGTAAGTTTTGTTTTATTTTTGCAGTTTGATCTTTGAGATAGAGAAGCATTGGACATTGTTTTTGCTTCTACAAAGTAAGTTTTTATTAACATATTCTATATTTTCTATCTTCTCATATATCTTTCTATGTGCGTGCATTTTAAAGAATTGATACTGTACTTTTTAGATGTTTTGAAATGATTTATTTAAAATGGTTGATATGTGTCTTAAAAGTTTTGAAATACTCCAGCTCATCGTACAACTCTTTTATGTCATTGTTGTGAAGCTAAGCCTTTTTAATTACTTTTATCATAAATGCTTATTTGCTATTTTTGTGGGTGCATTGCTTGTTTTCATTAAAATGCTTGAGGAATTGCACATTTAGCTTACCTTTCAATTGTGGTTCTAGATTAACAATCCATATAAACTTGTGCCATTTATCAAGCTAAACTTTTATGTCGGTGTAGCAAAATTGGTATAGATGTTAATATTTCTCAATACTCTAATTTGGATTTTATCATTTTGTCTTGTAGTTACTGTATTAATCTCTTTTTAACCTTCAGGTTCGATGTTTTTATTCATTTTACTGGCTTGAAGGTTGTGGTCGAATGTGTCCATAAGGCTTTGCTTTATTATAACATCAATCTTATTGGTACAATAACTCACTTAGAAGTGATGGTTGCTCATGACTGCAAAAATGTAAGCATTATACCCTCTCTCGGAGTAAGTCATTATACTTTTTTTAAGATCTTATTATTTTTCATTTATTCTTTGTTATCTATTCATGCAGATCATTATTAAGAAGTTCCTTCGTTTCCTTAATAAAGTAGAATTTAATTAACAATTGGCATCACGTTGATCATATGTATGCTTGATATCATTGACGTAAATAATGATATTCAATGCTGTTACATGCAAGGATATAGCATCGATACACTTTTTTTAAGGCTTTTCCGGAATGTTATGTTACATATTTATTATTTTCATCTGCTTTATTTTTTTGCTACTTTGCATGTTGTTAATGTCATTTTGAAGTATTGTCTGAATTGTTTAATGCCCAGTTATGCAAAGTTTTATTTTCATCTTGTATTTTTTAATACAAATTCATTAATGTTTCAGGTGAAGTTATTACCGACAGTTGAGACAAAACATTGAAATGCTGGGATCCCATAGGTGCAAATGGGCCAAAACACACTCTTGTTAGAACATACCCGTAGCTTGAACGGGTGTATTCTCTTTCTTTAGTTGTCCATAGCCTTGTAGTAGCAACTGCAGGGAGACATGTAAACGTCAATAACTTAAGAAATATGCCTCAACCTGAACAACAGAGACATTCATCCTTGAAATATCAAAGTAGATGTGTGCGATGCTATCCTAATGGTATAGGTAAAGTTCTTTCTATGATTAGATTTCTTGGTATAATTAGCTTGTACCTTAGGAATATTATGCGGTTTACCTAAGATAAATGCTTAAATTTAACCTAAGTAATGTTTAATGACCCAAGATTGTGTTTTTTAATGCAACTATTATGATACTTATAATGCTTTATAGATAATTCATCGATCACAAGTTACCAGTTACATCAACTACTCATTTTATTTATTTGAAAATAAGTAATAGAGGAGTTTAAATATAATTAGAATTAAAATGCTTGAAAATATTTATAATTTAAGCAAAAACCTTTTGAAAAAATAAATCAATGAGCAAAGAAATTAGTTTTCACAAAATTATACTTTCTTACCAAAATCAAAATAATTAAATAAACAATAACAAATTCTATAGAAAAAATGGACAAGAAAGAATTTTCTGAAGGAAAGAAAAATTAAGCCTCTTGCAAGTATAAGGAGATGATTTCTCCAGTAATTACGTAGTTGCATTTTTATTACATTAAAGGATATGTATAAATAACTAACAATTGTGATATCGTACTCAAGCATATAAATTTTATTCTAACAAAAAACCCCCAATTACATGTCATTGGCCATTGGTTGTGAACAAAACGAGGCCAAAAAATTTCCATTTACTTAGTCATAATATTTTCATTATAACGATAGATTATATTTATAAGCTATCTACACTCAAACCTTCTTAGCGAGGTTTTTGCTAAATGTGCAAAGTTTTACTTTTTTATGGTCATGAGTTATTCTACCTCTAAAAATGACGACTATATTGTTGTAAATAATATATACCATAACCCTCTCTGGTTCTTCCCTATAGCTCATATTTGGATGTACCTCAATGTCTTTATCAAATATCCATTTCCTCAGAAGTAATATATTGGACACATTATGAATATCTGACATATAATCTAACAAATGTAACTTGTAGGCTGATTATCCAATCTAATTTGATAGAAATTATGTACTGATTTTATATCGGATATATGATGCGATAACTCCACATGATATCCTCAAGATCCATTTATTCACTAAAGGGAGTCATTAGGTGTCGAGGCGACTAATTCATGTTTACTAATGGGAGTCATGGGAATTTATTGATTGGCTTTCATAAGGGGTGACTGATAGTCTTATACTTCGGTTATAAGTACAGGAGCAAGATTAAGATGCCCTTATCTGAATATCTGATACATGAAGTATTAATACCATTATTGATTACTATTACTGATACTATATTGATAGTGATGCTAATTACTATTAGTGATACTATAATGATATCATTATTAATATTGTACTGGTATCGTTACTGATTATTGTTATGAATTTTATATCAATTCCATTGTTGATTACTGATATTGATACTATATTAATACCATTTTTAATTACTAGTACTAATATTATATTAATATCATTATTGATTACTGTTATTGTTATTTATATTATATTAATATTATTACTAATATATGGATGTGAATGAGTGAATGATAAGATTAATTGCAACTGATTGAATGATTATGATAGACTAGTTGATAAATTAATATGGTTAACTAGCATAAATAATATATATGAGTGCATAACTTTCTTATACAAGTTACAACAAACTAATTTTCTTTTGTTTTGCATTGATTTTAGTTATTATATTTTAGTTACTTGCTAGGTTGTATGCTCGTTATATAGTTTTTACATATTTTCAAAAAAGGATAAAAACCATATGGAGAAGGAACTAGACAGCATGCATAGTTTTTATTTTAGCACTTCTAATTCATTTTTCAAAAAAGGGTAACATAATGTATTTAGCGTGATCAACTGGTCTTTTTGAATCACGACAATTGTATACATGATATTTTGGGCTTGTAATAATTATACACATTGATGAATATAAATACATTTCTTTTTGCTATTTATTTGAATTTGTAAGATTTAGTTAAGTGTGATTAACTAGTAAGAACAAAGATACAATTCTTCCAAATTTTAATTCCGGGATGCGACATTAGGGATTCATCAGAAGTGAGTTAAATATATGATAAGCATAAGACTTCCTACTCATAGCATATGCTGCCACATTAGCATTGCCATATTAGTATTTAATAGTTAGATCATAATTGTTAATGAACTCAAGCTATCTATTTTACTTCAGATTCAAATCATTTTAAGTAAATATGTATTTTAAACTTTGATGATCACTAAAAATCTCACACCTAACATCGTACATATAAAGTCTTTAGATCTTCAGGAAAATAACACAATAGTAAGTTCTAGATCATGTGTTGGATAATTCCTCACGAGTTATTTTAGTTATCTATAAGTATAGGCTATCACCTTTTTATGCTGCATTTGAACACATCACAGTCCATTTAGTGAAGCATTACTAAATATCTAAAATCCTGTTGTACCAGATGGAAGAGTCAAAATTAGAGCAGAAGTCAAATAAACATTCAATCTCTAAAACTCTCCTCATATTTTGAAGTCCTAAAAAAAGCCATTAGCATGCAAGTTATTCTTGTTAAAGGTGCATAAATCTAACAAAAACCTCTCAAAAACTTTACATAATATCCAACCATTCTAAAAAAATTACATACTTCAAATACAGTAGTAGGCCTTGACCACTCACTAATTACCTAAACTTGCTAGGGATCTATAAAAATACTAGTACTATTCACCATATGCCCCAAAAAAGTAATACTCCACAACCTAAACTCATATTTAAAGAATTTTTAATATAGTTGATGATTTGATGCTACCTTAGAGTCTCCAAAATAATCATTAGATGTCTGGCATGATCTTCCTCAGAAGCATAGTAAACCAAAATGTTATCTATTAACACTATCTAAAAATTAATCCAAAAAAATCTTTGAACACTCGGTTCATCAAATCCATAAAGATGGTCGATGCATTCATCACCTCAAAAGGCATGAGTAAGAACTCATAGTGTTTGTATCTCCTCTTCTGACTCCCAATTAGTGAACTCCTTATAACTTCCAATTAGTAATCACATGAAATAATCACCCTAACTCCATATCACTCGTATCAATCTCTAGCTTCTTTTTCAAAATTAATGATCATGTGGATCTTGAGGGTAATCGCGTGGGGGTATCCTATAGATTTCTGATATCAATCAGCACATCCTTTCTATCAGATTAGTATCACATTCTACTATCACAAACCAGTATTATATTCTAGTTTATATCAATCATTTCAACACATTATATATTCTAGTTTATTATATCAAATCACGATATATTATTTTTCTTACTAAAAATAATGTAGTATTTTTTTATCTTAAAGAATAGTAATTCTTTTTAGTTGATATCATGTAGGAATGTCTCAAAAAAAGGTGAAAATTTTATAAATATTGAACCGACACTATGATGCTCATACTATTAGCACTGTAGCGTTGATAACACCCTTGTGCCAAATTAGGACATCACAACACTCAAGCATCAGGAAAATGTTGATTAATTTTGCATCCAGATTGAATAAAAAATTAGTGCTACAACACATCATAATATTGCGGCAGAATTGCAGCATCGAAGTCTCAGGAATTTGAGCACTAAGGCACCAAACCGAACAACGTCATAGCACCGAATGACACATTCAAGCATCATAGTGCTTAACTTTTGGAGTGTGAGGGAAGAGAAGTTGATGAAATTTGGAGCCAGGACAAATTAAGCTGGCGACGCACTAGGTCAGCCAATATCCACAATAGATCTGTCTAGCATCTCGGTGAAACCTACTTAGCAGAATTCACATTATAACACTATAACGTTAACATGTCAAGCATCACGGTGTTAGAGTCCACTTATGTACTTATTATAAATAGTTTTTTAGTCTTTTTATGTAGGGGTTTCTGCCATTTTAGTGAGTTCTAAGTGTTTAAGTGTGGTGCCACCTTAGAGTCAAGTTTAAGGGAGACCAGAGGAGAGAAAGATATAGCAATTGGAGTGGTTGGCCTACCATATTGTGAGAAAGAAAGTAATTAAAGAAGATAATACTGTGTACTATTTAGGTTATATATATTTTCACTTTTCTCCTTGTACTTTCCTTTTTGAGCAACCAATGAAATCTATTTTATTTTATTTTAATTTTGTGGCTAGCTAAAACACTTAGTTTTGGGCTAATGATATGAAGCCTAAGTAATTACTAATGTAGTCTCTTATGATTTACTCAATTAATGGATGTTTTCAATATCTCTTATTCATAATTTAATCTATATAATGACCATGTGTAGAGTTAAAATATAGTGTGATATTTTACCTCGATGGAGAAATATTGAAATAATTAGGAGTATTGAAATGAAACTCTTGCATGCCTAGACATAGGATGTTTAGTTTTCTAGAGTCTATGGAGAAATAATAATTATAGGACATTCCTTCACTTTCTTATAAGCATAATAGAGATATAAGGATGTATACGCTCTGATTCATAACCAACATAGGAGAGACTACTTAGGGAAGCTTTGGAAATTCATTGTTATTAGTACAAAATATTTTATCTGCCACTATCTTGTCTTTCTTATACAATTCTTAGTTAAGATAGAATCCAAACTTGATTTTCATTGTGTAGGATAAACATTCTAGCTAAACAGGAAGTACTACCACATTTGCAGCGTAGCAAAATACTTACTCATTGGATTAACACTCTCTCATATCATTTTTATTACTTGATCGATACGTGCACATGCGTTATTTAGTGGACATTTATATGAAAGAGGACCTAAGTATATTTTACACACCTCTATTTCCCATTATCAAATGTTTGGCACCGTAGTCAGGGAAGTTGCATGCTTTCATTCAATTTTATCTATAATATTAAAAGAGATATATATTTAATTATAATTGTATCATATATCTTAAATATTATTATTTATTATTTATTTATTTTAAAATTTTAAAAAAAAATTCCTTTGTTATATTATTTTTTATAACTTAATTCTTTTATTATTGGTTTATGTGTAGTAGATCTTGTATGGAAACTTTGTTGTTTGATTTATAGATTTAGATGACCCATATAAACATTGAAAAATCCAAAGTAATTATAGCATTAGGAATGGCTGAACCAAATCTAGATTAGACCATTCTAAACCTCTTAGAAGTATGTTAATTCTATAGTAGATATATTTCATCAAAGTATCAATAAACCTACTATCCAAATTAATAATTTTGAGCTAAAACCTGCCAATAATTTTGAGTTAAAACAAACCATAATTCAGTTGGTTCAAAATTTCTAGTTTGGGAGAACTCCTATTAAGGATCCCATTCTATACTTAACTAGCTTCTTAAAAATTTGTGCAATATTCAAGTACAATGGTGTTAGTAATAGCACTGATAGGCTTCATTTGTTTCTATTTTTGCTAAGAGACAAAGCTAACATTTGGTTGAATTCCTTACTCCTATGATCTATAACTACTTGGAATAAATTGGAACATAAATTTCTAACTAAGTATTCCCACCATCTAAAACTGGTAAGCTTAGAAATGAAATAACATCTTTTTCTAAATTTTAAGGAGAGTCTGTTTATGAAAGTTGTGAAAGATTTAAGAAGATGCTTAGAAAGTTCCCTCACCATGTTTTGCCTGATTGGTTGGTGATTCAAACTTTCTATAATGGGCTTGCACAATTCCTTAGGTTAATAATTGATACAACAACTGGAGGATTATTATTGTCTAAACTTTTTGATGAGGCTTAGGAATTTATAGAGGAAATTTCAACAAATAATTTTTAGTGGTCTTCTATTACGGTGAATCCTAAGAATATAATCAGTGTTTATGAGTCAGATGCTTTATCGATTTTGATTGTTCAATTAGCTTCCATATCTAATAAGTTGGATAGTTTTAGAGTTAGTTCAAGGTTTGAATCACAAGTGTTTTTGGAAGAGAGAGATTTAAATTATGTTGGCGAGAATAATGCTCAATGGGTTGAGAATGTTAATGCCATTGGAGTACGAAAAATTTCTATTTTAATATTTATAACCTAGGTTGGAGGAACACCCCAACTTTAGTTGGAATAATAATAGTGGTGAAACTAATTAGTGGAATACATGTCAATCTAATTCTAGAAAAAATTGGAGCAATCCTCAAAAACTTAGAGTAAACCCTAAGCATTATTATCCTTTAGGATTTAATTAAAATAATCAATTAAGAGATAGGAAGATGTCTTTGGAGGAGTTAGTGATTGAAATGAGAAATTAATTGCAAAGTCAAGTTGCTTCAATCAAGAATTTAGAAAATCAATTTGGATAGCTTACAATTTATTTTAATAGTAGAGCCCATGGCACCTTGCCCAATAACACTAAAGTTAATCCAAAGGAGAAAAGAAATATCATAGCTTGGAGAATTTATAGAGTAGTAGTGATAGCACCCAACCACAATGACAAATCTAGGCATAGTATGGCTAAAGACTAAAAACTTAGAGCAGATGATAGGCAACCCAATTGTGTTATACGTTGTTGATCATATATTTAGTTTCGTTGCAATATTTAGTTGTCTTTTTTGTTAATTATTTATGTTATTTTATTATTATAATAGGTATTGTTGTTGCAAAGTTAAAATTTTCAATTAAGTAAAATTCCCTATATTGCTTAATTATTGAAATTGTCCTCTCCATAGCACTTACACTTTGATATCTAAATTCATTAGATTAAAAATAGTAATTAGATTAAATATAGTAATTAAAATATTTAAAATTAATAATAATATAAAATCATAAGTGATAAATTGAATGAACAAAGATCAACATTTATAATTTAAAAATCATAATTTCATCTTGAGATTTATGCTGAACACTTGAAGCATGGACTATTGATGACAAGAATTGAATAATAAAGTTTAGGAAAATGGAGTATTTAGATTAAATTTGAAAATTATTTAGAACTCAAATATGGATTTAGTGAACTTATTACAAACCTTACATTATTAAAATTTAGGATCTCTTAAGAGAATAAAGCAATAAGATATTCAATATTATTATTCTAAGTACTCAATTAAGTAAAAAAAATGCAAAAATAGAGTACCATCAAAATTGGTATATGATTTAGTTGTATTCCTAAAGGGTCCTAATACATAATTCACATAGGGGAGTATGAGTAAGCTAGTACGTATGGAGGTTTACTAATGAATTTCAAAATTAACTAAAATATAATTAATTTCTAAATGACTTATTACTCAGTACTTTTAAAAATAAATAGTCAAACTTTATACTTACACTTATAGTAGAAGACTTCAATTTGAATATTAACAATGATAATTTATTAGGGTGGTTGTTCTTAATTTTTTAAATTAGAATTGCCACACTTTGATCATTTCAAACATCTAAATGGTAATGCATTTTTTTATATTTTAGTGGTTATAAACTTGTCGAACAATAATGACATTAATCCTTTTAAGAAATTGTGTTAATGCTAGGACGTCCCCTGGAAGCGACACGATGTATAGCCTGAATAAAGTGACAAGTGTGCAAGGGTAGTTGCACTGGCGTCCGGGTGCAGTTTAAAATCATCTACCGCTCTACTAACATGTCCATTTAAATCTCCTCCAATAAAAACTCTTTTTTCAAGAGGTATCTTTTGTATTAATTCTTTTAAGTGATTCTAAAATTTTAATTTAGAACTCATATCCAAACCTACTTGAGGAGCATAAGCACTTATAATATCAACAATCTTATAATCAATAATAACCTTTAAAACTATAATTCTATCTCTAATCTTATTAATTTTTGTAACTTTATTCTAAATGGGTTGTTTCCTAAATGCACAAAATATTTAACTTCCTATGAATCATAACATCTATTAATTCCATTAATTTTCATGTAAGGAAACATATATTCCAAGTTCCTATCCTAATTTTAGTTTCATGGACTAGCTTCTTTGCCCATATCCGTCCTTGATGTTGGAACCCTTGCCTATTTAATAATCGATGTTGGGTACATAAATTTTCACTCGGAATAACTTTTTAATCTAGATGATTTAATTTTCTAATAAGAAAATAGTCAATCTAGGTTGTACTATATCCATTTTTATCAGTAATGAGATGCTCATTCCTTTTCTTAAATAAGGTATTAGCAATTGAAAAATCATAAGCTAAATAAAAATCTAATATGGTCTTTCCACCTTCATTCGTTGTTCCAAATCCATGGCCATCATGACTACATTTTGGTGCGAGGATAGAATTAGCGACGAGCGCAAGTCCCTTCCTAGTTTGTTCAAGAACGGTCCACATGCAAACCTCAAAATTTAAAGCAGCTTGATTTAGCATCTGAGACGATGTAATTTTGCAGGCCTTGTATTTGCAATAAGCATCTTCATTTTCAGGAGCCAGGAAACGGTCGTTGGGACGGCAAGAGGAAGACGAGCTTCCAACGATAATACGATCGTGCTTGCTAGAACTCGACATTTCGTGAAGGCAGGTTATATTAATTGAGGTGGAGGAATGAGTGAAATGATCTTCATGTTAAGCCAATTTATAGAATTTTGAAAATATCGTACAATACGATCTAGGATCGTACAGTACGATGTGGCAATAATATTGTCTGGACGAACAGATCGAAAAAGGTGGTCAACTCGTACAGTACGATCAGAAGGATTTTGATCATCCCGAGGGTCGTCGGTGCGAACTTTGACAAAAACCGACGACCCTTGATGAAAAGTTTCGTACAATACGAACAGGTGTTCGTACAGTATGAACAGGCTATTATATCGTACCAACCACCATTAAGTGGTCCTCATCCGTTTCGCTGATGTGGAACGTACAATACGAAGATGTGGTATCATACAGTACGATGTGCAATAATGTCGTACCAAAAGGTTGAATGACCAGACACATGTACCGTACAGTACGATGGTGATTGTACAGTACGATTAATAGGGACGATATTTGTGTCTGGGTTGTGATTTGTGTTGTTTTTATATATCATACAGTACGATATTGGATCGTACAGTATAATAAAGAAAATGTCAATTTTTTATTTTTGTGTAGTGAGTGTGTGATGATCAGGAACAACCTTAGAAGTTTTTTTTTTTTTTTTTTGAATTATGCGTTAATGTCTATGACACCAAGTCTTGTCCTCAAAGTGCTAAAGGTGTCATAGGCTAGTGGTTTAGTGAAGATGTCTGCCAATTGGGCAATCAGTCATTTGGGTATTATGATAAAGAGTAATAGTGACCAATATGGAAGTTTATGCTATAAGTTCTTCTTCCGTATAGAATTGAGGGCACCCTTCAATTCCCATTTAACTCTTACTGTTTAAGTGTAGCTCTCGGTTTTTAACATTATAGCAAATCAATCTACAAGTATTCCTATAATAAACCTTTCTTAACGACTTCAAAGTTCAATAAATCATGTTGGCCTAGCCGTTTCAAATTAATTTCAACTCCCTATCTCAGCTTTCTACTTATATACACCCCATCAATCTTCTATTATGTTATGCAATGATGAATTTGATCATCTACTATAAAATACCATTTTCAACTATATGCTCTCAACTTATTCATAAGACTAACTAAGCATATCACCAGTCAGGAGAAGCTCCTATGCAAAAACATAAGCAAAGATCACTTGTTTAAAAGTGGAAACATAATTAAAGCATAACTCACCAGTTCTGGAACATATTCCATAGGCCCTTTCACCTTCAAACTCATGATCTTAAACTTAACTTTGTTTTTCTGATCAAGCAATGGTTTCTCATTATTCTCTGGATGCTCCACAAACTTGGAAACTGCTAATTTAAGTAATAGATGAACAATCAAGGCGCTTGCATTGCAATTCCTTTTATCATCAATCAATGATATAGAACCAAACGCCTAAGTAATAGATGTAAATGGGTTAAAAGGAACGAGATGTAGAAAAGGATTCAGAAAGCAAACCTCCATGATAATGATTGCACGTACTTAAAAACAAAGAACGAAGTTTCAAAAAGAAAATGCATAAAAAGTAAAGCACAGTACCAGTTGCTATACTCTCTCCGAGAGAAAGTATTGCTCCAGGAGGACGCATAAAACAACTTTTTGGTGCAGTTGTTTGAAACTACAAGAAAAAAAAATTTTGACGTTAACAATCTATAGATAAAGATAATGTAACTATACAACATATTGTAAACAAAAAAACTGCCGTTACTTTTTTGGAAAACATGAAAACAGAAATATTTCTTCTTTATTCTAAATGGTAAATAAGTTACCTTGAACGCTACATAGGACTTGCTAGTGTTCTTTATTCTGATTGCACTTCGAACCAGCTTGCCAGGTTCATCTTCAAATGAAGGGATAAAAGTTAATTCCTTCTATTAAAAAGAAAAACATCAAAGAAAGCAAGCCTACACCTAAAATTAAAAAACTCAAAAACTTTAAAAAGCATAATAATGAACATACAAATAGAAGGCAAACATTCACATGGACTAAATTTTTCACTAGAAAGCAAGTGACCTGGTTCTATGCAAATGATACAACTCAAAAACTAATCTAATAGAAGGAAATTTAACAAAAGAGACATGATTTACCCAGGCACTCCTTAAGATGGACATGATAAACTCCACAGAAGCAATATAATCATTCAATGATTAAAAAGGAACGATAATATACTCAATGATTAAACAAAAAATTTGCTAGATTCTTCATTAAATCCAATGATTAAACACAAATAATAGTTCCACAATAGATATAGATAAGATGATTTATGACTTAATTAGGTGCATTAAAAAATTTAGACATAGTAAAACCTCCAGAACTAGCAATAACCAAAAAGATAAAAACATAAATGTGATCCTCTACAATTCAAGCTTCTAGTGTAGTTCTTCCACCGCATACCATCCTAACAACATTAATATCAAAGAGATTCCACTGAACAATAACATTATCGCATTTAAAAATTAAAACAATTCAGTAAACTCGAAAACCTGCAATCAAACAAACAAATAGATTGAGTATGGAACCAAGTACAACCAACCAAGAAAATTTTAAAAAATCCTAATTCACCCAAAAAAACCCTTCACCAAAACCCAATCTTTTATGCATCATTAAGAAAATCACTTCGAAATTCCGACCACTAACATGGGAAGTAAAGTTTATTAGGCCGATCGAGCCGAAGCCTGTTAGCCTAAGAGTTCCTTAGGCGGGAAGAGAAGACAGAGTAGAATTTCGATTGAGAAGAAAGTAAAACCAATTCATTAATTCTATGAAACATTACAGGGGTATATATATCTGAAATACAAAGCAAGATGTCGTACAGTTGTAACAGCTGTACGAATACATATTTACAAAGTTTGTTCGTTATCTCTATTCCCTAACATACCCCCTCAAACTGATGGGCTAGAAGAGACCATGAGTTTGGAAGCAAGAGTCTTAAAACGGGATATAGATAATGATTTGGTAAGTAAATCAGCAAGTTGATCCTTAGAAGACACATGATGAACTTGTATAGCTTTGTTTTTGATGTGGTCACGGATAAAATGACAGTCGATCTCAATATGCTTCGTTCGAGCGTGGTAAACCGGGTTGTTAGCCAGGGAAATCGCCGAGGTATTGTCACAGTAGATCATGGTAGGTTGCGGCTGCAGTATATCAAGTTCTTGAAGAAGTTGACGGAGCCAAAGAACCTCTGTAGTGGCTGTGGCGATGGCTCGGTACTCCGCTTCTGTGGAGGAGCGGGCAGTTGTGGTCTGTTTCTTTGCACACCAGGAAACCAGAGTGGAACCTAGAAAGTTGAAGTACCCTGTTGTAGACTTCCGGTCATGATGATCACCTGCCCAATCCGAGTCAGTGTATGTGCTGAGAATCAAGTTGTCAGAAGTTATTGGAATGCCAGAGCTTGTAGATCCACGAATATACCGCAGAATTCTTTTCAAGAGCTCGAAGTTGGAAACGGTTGGCTGTTGCATATATTGACATGCTTTGTTGACGGCGAACGTGATGTCCGGGCGAGTGAGAGTGAGGTATTGCAGTGCACCGACAAGTTGCCTGTATAGATGCGGATTGTCAAAGACAGGCGAATCGTTGGATGAAGAGGCTTTCGGTATTATTGGTGTGGAGACGGGCTTGCTGTTAGTCATGCCTGCACGTTCCAGAATCTGTTCTGCATAGCTAGCTTGATGCAGGATGAGTCCAGTGGGGGATCGTTCCACTGTGATTCCTAGAAATTGCGTTACTGTACCTAAATTTCGCATGTTAAACTTTTGGTGCAGCTTGAGTAAAAGAGAATTAAGAGATTGAGTGTTGTTGCCTGTTAGTATGATGTCATCGACGTAAATTAAAAAATACATAGTGATACCATTTTTCCGATAGAGAAGGAGGGATGAGTCTGAATGACTTGTGATGAAGTCCAGTTGATGTAGAAATCCCGTAAGAGTCTCGAACCATTTTCTTGGTGCTTGTTTGAGGCCATAGAGCGCCTTCTTGAGTTTGCAAACGTAGTTCGGGTAATTGTTGTCGGTGAAACCTATAGGTTGTCTCATGTAGACCGTATCGGAGAGCGAACCATGCAGGAAGGCGTTTGAGACATCTAACTGATGTAGAGGCCAGTTGTAGTGCAAAGCAATAACTAAAATGATACGCACGGTTGGTATTTTGGCAACTGGGCTAAAGGTCTCTTAATAGTCAGTGTCGAACTCTTGGTTACAACCCAAGGCGACTAGTCGAGCTTTATATCTGGCAATGGACCCGTCTGCATTGCGCTTGGTTTTGTACGTCCATTTGCAACCGAGAACGTGTTGATCAGCTGTTGGAGGGACAAGTTCCCAGGTTGCTTGAGATTGAAGAGCCTAAAATTCTTGGGACATGGCATTGCGCCAATGCTGGTGCTTAACTGCCTGTGAGTAAGTGGTAGGATCTGCATCCGTTAGAAGATGAGCGAGATCCAGGATGCGGGTGGGTTTTAAGCTGCCGGTTTGAAGTCGTGTGGTGAGTGCGAGTAGCCGCAGGTGGAGTAGGAGGACGAGTGTTGTTGTTTGAAGTGGGTGAGAGCACATTCTGAGGAGTCGGTGGAGAGACATGCTGATTAGTGTGGGAAATACTATTGTTGGGTGTTGAATGAGAAGTGTGATGTATGGAGGATGAAGGGACCAGCAGAAGAGGAGGAATAAATGCTTTGCTGGATTGAGAGACAGGGTTGGTAACTTCAGCAGAACGCTTGAAAGGAAAACAGTTTTCCTTAAACACAACGTGACGGGAAATATATATTCTCTGATTGTTGATGTCCATACATCGATATCCCTTCTGTTGAGATGCGTAGCAAATGAATACGCACGGAATCGATAGAGGAGATAATTTTGATTTAATGTAAGGACGGAGCCAAGGGTAGCAAAGGCACCCGAAAGTTTTTAAGTGAGTGTAAGCGGGTTGTTTTTGATATAAGCGCTGAAATGGTGATTGGTTGTGTAATATGGGAGTTGGGAGTCGATTGATTAAGTATATTGCAGTGTGCATTGCTTCCACCCAAAGATTGGACGGACAATTGGAGTGGATGAGAAGGCTTCGTATAGTTTCCAAGATGTGTCGATTCTTTCGTTCAGCAATCCCATTCTGAGCCGAGGTGTGAGGACAAGTAAGTTGATGTTGAATACCGTGGTTGTGGTAGTACGCGTTGAATAAATTGTTAGTGTACTCTCCTCCCCCATCTGTCCGAATAATTTTAATATTGCAAGAAAATTGACATTGTATAAATCTATGAAATGTAATAAAAATATGAGTGACTTCTGATTTATGAACCATCAGAAAAACCCAGCAGTACTTGGAGTAATCATCTATAAAGGAAACAAAGTATCTAAAGCCTTGAATAGAGGCCGTTGGGGAAGGTCCCCATACGTCTGAATGCAGTAATTGAAATACATTGCTAGAACTTGAACGAGAATGCATAAAAGGTAGTTGTCTGCTTTTGGCAAGACAACAAGAATTGCAATTATCATGTTTAGAGATACAAATTGCAGAATCTAAACTAGCAAGTTTTTGAAGAACACTTTGACTAGGATGGCCTAGTCGATTATGCCATAAGTCTGGCACAACTTCAGCCGAGAGCAGAGCAAGAGACGTGGTACCAAGCGCGGACAAAGCCTTGTATAACCCATTATGGCAGGGTCCTTGAAGTAGGATGCGACTGGTCTTCAAATCCTTAATTTGGTAGCCGTTAGAAGAAAAGGATATTGTGCAATTGTTTTCGATTGTTAACTTATGAACAGAAAGAAGGTTAAAAGAAAGATTTGGGACGTGATGAAGGTTGGTAAGACGAAGGTTACCTGTGGGTGTGGGAAGAATGTCGTTACCAGTATGTTGAATCGGGATTTGTTGGCCATTGCCGAGAGTAACCTGAGAGGATCCCGTGTAAGGTTCAATGGAGCTGAGTTGGGATTGATCTGCCGTTAGATGGGAGGAAGCACCGCTGTCAAGAAACCAGTCGGTCGGCCGATTGGTGTCTTGTGCCGAGAAGAGAGCGGGGTTCGTAGAGGAGTCTGAATAGGATGGATCCGTCCGGTACCAACAGCGAATAGCAGAGTGCCCTGTCTGAGAGCATATTTGACAGATGGTGTTGCGGTGGGGATTATTGTTACCTCGACCATTTTGGTTGTTTTGACGATGACCCCTACCGCCTCTGTATGAGTTTGAGCGACCTCTTCCTCTTCCTCGAGAGGCCGTAAGAGCGACAGTGTTGTCCGTTAATTGCATGGATTGTAGATCTTTTGTAGCTTCTTGAAGTAGAATGTGCTCTTCGCTGCAAAGTAAGCTATAGAGATCGTCCAAAGATAGAGGTTGAAGATTTGTACGTATCACCGTTTTAAATGATTGATATGAGGAGGGAAGTCCGTTCAGCGTATAGAGTATGACGTCTTCCGGATCAATCGTGTGTCCCGTGGCTTGGATGGCGTCAATCTTGGACTTGATATCCAGCAGATATTGCGTCATTGATTTGTCTCCCTTATGCAGGTGATGTAATTCGTTCTTCAGCTGTATGATTCTTGAACAAGTTGTAGATTGTAACCGATGAATGAGGGTGGTCCAGATCTCGTGACAGTGAGTGGGATCAAGAACATACGGTAAGATGGCGGGAGAAATCACGGAATAGAGGGCAGCAGCGAGATGTTGATCCGTGAGATTCCAGGCATCTGACTGTTCGGAGGAAGTCGTCGCGGCCGGAGTTGCGGGATCAGCTTCGGGAGAGGGACAGGCGGAGGTTCCAGTGAGAAAGCCTTTGAAGCCATGGGCAGAGAAGACTTTATCCACCTGAGAGCGCCATAGCGGGAAGTTGTCGGAGGTTAGGGTATTAGG